ATGGTCTGTAGCTCAACATAAAAAAAAACCCTAAGATCATGGCCACTCGTGCCATCACCTCCTGGCAAACAAAAGGGGAAGATATGGAGGCAGTGACAGATTTTACTTTCCTGGGCTCCATGATCACTACAGATGGTGACAGCAGCCATGAAATTAAAAGACGCCTGCTTCTTCGGAGGAAAGCAATGACAAACCTCAACAGAATCTTAAAAAGCAGAGACATCACCTTGCTGACAAAGGTCTGCATAGTCAAAGCTATGTTTTTTCCAGTAGCGATGTATGGAAGTGAGAGCTGGACCATAAAAAGGCTGACCACTGAAGAATTGATGCTTTTGAATTGTGGCGCTGGAGGAGACTCCTGAGAGTCCCCTGGACTGCAAGTAGATCAAACCTATCCATTCTGAAGGAAATCAACCCTGAGTGCTCACTGGAAGGACAGATCCTGAAGCTAAAGCTCCAATACTTTGGCCATCTCATGAGAAAAGAAGACTCCCTGGAATAGACGCTGATGTTAGGAAAGTGTGAAGGCAGGAGGACAAGAGGATGACAGAGGATGAGATGGCTGGACAGTGTCATCGAAGGTACCAACATGAATTTGACCAAACTCTGGGAGGCAGTGGAAGACAGGAGGGCACCTGGCATGCTCTAATCCATGGGGTCATGAAGAGTCAGACATGACTTAACAACTAAGCAACAACAAAAAGACAGAAAAGCCTTAATGCAAGAAATTAATGGGAGGTAGATCTACATTGGCTAATTGCCATTATAGCTAAATGAAATCTCCATATTTAAAAGAACTATATCTTTGCTTATCAGGCAAAATCCAGAGAGAGAAAACAAAACAAGACAAAACATGTGGCATCTTAAAGACTGTTATATTTTAATGTGAGCTTTCATGGACATGTAGTTCCTCAGACATGTGGAAACAGAATGAAATATCACTTTCATACTAAATAGTTATTGGCTGTTGCATGTATGTTACATTTACATACAGTAATTTATGGCTTTAACTTTGCTGACAGAGCTAAACAACAGGGAAGTTCTGATACCATTGTGTAGAGTAGTGAAAATCTCTTAGCCTTAATTTTCCTGCATTTCTCTAAATTCCAGCTCTTCTCACCTTACCTTGTATCAAGGTTTTAAGTAATTTCAGTGCATATTTTGGTATATATCTTTCCTGATACATATACTGTATAGTTGTACCATGTACATTTTATGTGTATTTTCCTTGTGAACATTTTAAAAACGCATTTGCATTTGATATTTTCATATAGTTGAACAAGAAAAAAAATCTTCTATTTTTTTCTTCCCCAAGATACAAAACCAAAGATTTGCACATTTTCACTTACGTCTCACAGACCACAGACTGGATTTTCTTTTTAAAGGTACTGTAGATTTCTTTACCATCCTGCTCTTCATGTGATCTGTTTAGGTGCAGTGATTGGTATTTGTGCTAGAGGTACATACCTGGCTGGATAGCTCAGTGGGTTAGGTAGATGGCTACAGAGCCTGAGCTTATAAATTCCATTTCCCACTGTCCATCCCAGGAGAAGAACCAGTTTATGTAGCCTTAAAGTGCTCCCAAAAGAAAGGTCACTTCTGAGTACTCTATACCTAGAAACCCTGGAAAGGTTACCCATAAGTCAAAACTGACCTGATACCAAGTAATTATGTGGATACCCAGTGTGGTGTAGTGGACAGAGTGAAGGACTAGAATTTAGGAGATCAGAATTCAAATCCCTGTTCAGTTCTGGAAACTCACCAGGGGAGCGGAACTGGTAAAACCACTCCTTAAATTCATCACTTACCAAGAAAACTCTATTTGGGTCACTATAAGTTGGTTACGACTTGATGCCACATAATACAAGCAGCATGATATGTGTCATCCCCTTCCTCCACTGCTTTGAGTACAAGGATCTGTAAAGGCCTTTGGTGGAAGAAGATGTTCATGGCCTGCCCAATAATTGTGGAAACAACATTCTACAACTGCATGAATAGCTGTAATTATATCCCATCAAAAGCATCTCTAGTCAGCCACATGGGAATATTGGGAGTGGTGTAACTGGGCTGACATGTGAACCCTCACAGCCTATCCATGGATTAGGAATGTGAAAAATGCTTGCACAAGAAATTGAGCTCTTCAGTGATGGCCCTCGTGCATGTTCAGCTCCTCGAAAAGGCTAAATTGCTGAGCACACAAGGCAACACTTTTTCTATAGCAGTTCCTCAGTTGTCCAGCTTTCCCTAAATGGAGTTAGGCTAGCTTCACACATGATGAGCTTTTGCTGGGCAACCAATACTATATTGCTTTCCATGATTTTTGGTGTCTTACACTCTGCCTTTAATGTCTTTTTAAAGAAAGTTGGCTTTTTAATGTTGTTTAATGTTGGTTGTTTATGCGAGACTTACCTGTTTTTAAATAATCTTTTTACCTTTTTGTGGATTCAGAGCCCTTGTGGGCTGAAAAATGGTAAACAAATATTTTTAAGGATAGAAACAGTTAATAATCAGTGAATACAGAATTAGGCTATGAAATGTTCAGTTGAGCAACTGAACGGATAACAAACAGACACACACTCCCTAACGTTCTCTTCAAATGATGAAGAGTGCTGCTTTCCCTACCTAGAAAATTTAAAATCTCCTAAGTTAGGGGTGGACAATCTCCCAAGTTTTTTTTTGAGGGGGGTCCATCTGTGTATTCCTGGATTTGGGATGGATGAACCTACTCCTATAACCCCAACCACCCAAAAATCATGCAAAAATGGGAGGGGGGAGCGGGAAAATCCTAGAGTGTCCTAAAGATTTAAAAAAAAAAACAATATAGTAGAGGGGGGCAGGAGTGCTGAGGCCCTTTGAAATCTGGCAGGCTTGCCATTTAGAGGAAGCAAGGGGACTTTTTTCATTAAAAAAATGTAATACAGGGATAGACCTCAAATGTTACTGAGGATTCCAAAGTTCCTGGGACTGCATTTGGGCTTAGATGCTTCCACAGACTCATTTGTCTGACAAATGATAGGGGATGATCATAGTCACTGTTACATTATGTAAACCAGCCATACAGGGCTGCTACTAGCTTTTTGAAAAGCTGTTAGCAGCCACCATGTTCTCTAGACTCACAAAGAGAGTATGGCTCAATAAGAAGCTGACGACATATACCAAGATCCAGGTCTATACAGCCTGTGTCCTGAGCACACTCCTGTACTGCAGTGAGTCCTGGACCCTTTGTGCA